GGAAGATCCCTGCCTGAAAAAGGGTCATGCACGTAGTTCGAGAGCCAGGCTTCATTATTCGGAAGGATGCTCTCACAAAAGGAGAGGGAGGTCGATGATGCAAAAGGATGAGGAAATAAGTATTTTCCAGCTCCTTTTAATGCTATTTACTTGTACACACCTGAGGAAATACCTGTGCAGGCTGGGGGCAAGTAGGAAAATACCTTAACGAGAGAACTGAGGGTGCCTCTAGGCGTTGACATAGCCAGCATCAACTGAAAAAGCAGGCTACCAATTTTTGGATGATCGCTCTTGTTGCAGTTTAACACTAGCAAGACCAAAACAAAGGGATTTTAAGGCTTCAGATTAGTCTTCTGCCCTACAGCCCGTATTTCCTCCCCAGTTCAGTCATCTCTAAATCAGCTGCCACTCGCCCGAGCCTGGCGTTCAGGACACAGGTTTGCTTTTCCAGCTGGACGGGCCAGGAGGAAAAGCTACCAAAAAAATGGGAATAGTAGATTGATTACCTCTGGTTCTAGAATTCCTTCTTTTTTTTTTTAATGCAGGTGTCCCGAATACCATTCAAAAGCAGAAGTCATTAAGTTACCTTAATTCCTAAAGTGCAGAACCCGTTGTTAACGGAACACACCAGCACCGGTATTGTCGCCTGAGATTAGACACGTTTACCCTACCTGCTGCTTACAGCGCGCACTTACAGATGGAGGAAGGCTAACGTGAAAGCCTGAAACTCGACAGAGCTTAAGACAACGGCTATTTATCCTGCATTAAAAAGAGAAAAAGGATTATTTAGCCGGGTGGACGACAGTTGTAGGAAAAGAAGCTGATCCTGACTCATCCTATTAAACTAAGCCGCTTGAGCATAAACAGGCTACTTGCCGACAAAACCGAGTTTATCCTAAAAATAGGTATTTGTACCACCATAAACGCGTATCTAATTGCATACAGCCGCCAATCCCCGGCAAGCGGCCGTCACGCATCACATCCAGAAGCGTCAGGAATTGCAGCTTTAAGATATATGCCGAGGTTAAAGTAACACAGCGTCCAAACTAAGGATCGGCGTGTTTACACTTCCATCCAAACCCGCCCGCCCCGGGCACATCAGCGGGATCCTAGTGCTAAGGAGGGTTTCACCCGCATGTGGAGAAAACCAGTCAGCTACGTATTGAAAGAGAACGTGGTTATTAAAACCTCCTAATGTTCTGCCAGCGACCAGCCCAAGCGCAAAATCTGCCTGTCAACCAGATGCGGGTTTTCCCAGACGACCCCCGCGGCTTTTTTAAAGCCGAGGTAGTTGTTTCCAGCCACCTCTACCAGAACAAGACACCTGCGCCTTGCGTCTAAACCTTGGCTCTGCGAAGCGGGGTTAATAAGCCCCTTCCCCAGACGATCTCAGCCGCGCAGAACAAATCACGCAGATTAGGTACTGCCCGGGTCTTAACAAACTGCCCCGAAAAATCTCCAGGCATAAGTGAAATTGAGCAACGGGAGATCGGCGCAAAGAGAGCGAGGTGAGAACGGCAATGGGTCGTGCCGGAACGGGGCGCACTGGGGAAGGGAAGCTGCTGGGGACTGAACTGCGGGACGAGTCCTATCCGATTCCGCGAGGAGACAGAGGGGTAAGCTAACGAAACGTGCAAATAAGCTGGAGGGTAAAGCAGAGAAGCAGAGAAGCACTGTCAGCGGAAAGGATCCGAACATTAGACGTGACCCGAATGACCGAGCGAGATCCGACGACACCGCGAGAACTCGCACGCGCATTTACAAACGCAAAAAAGCAATCTGCTGTATGCAGAGAGCTCCAAGAGGAGGATGTAAATGCAGAGTCATAAATAACCCCGAAACTGGCAGTGTGACTTCAGGAGCGAGCAGCACAGCACCGAAGCCATGGTACCCTCAGCAGATAGAAGGGCAGCAGTAAATACCACACTAGAAGGCACAGCCGAGAGCTAATCTGCAATATTGCGTCCCACAATGAACCCACACTCAAAGATTAATCGAAACTGAAGTGCAAAGGAGGACTAAGAGTCAAAACAGCAGAAGGGATGACCTACATTACCAGAAAGTAAAAGCCTGGTTGGCTCAGCGTGCAAAAACAGGCTGGTGAAGAGCAGGGCTCTCTAAATCCACTGAGAGGTCAACATCGGCGAGAAATTAAATTTAATTAAGTAATTAAACAACACTGATGCAAGAAGCACGGGACAGAAACCGATCATAAGCGGTATTTAGCTGGAAACCAAGTTTCTACACATCAGAGCAGAGATGGTCTGAAATAACCTTCACAGCAAATTCAGCCAGACCCTAACTGCCTCTTGAACGGCGCTTGATAAAGCTTGCGGAGGCGCCTAAGAGGTTTCGCTACCTTCAATATCAGGGTCAGACCCAAATCTGAAATTTCCTTCTAGCCCCACGTTCCCTGCGATGTTATCGCCTATCAGAAAAGCACCCGCTGAGCCAAGTCCTCCAACTCCTGCTGCAACACGACGGGAGAGCTAACCTACATTTAATCCTCCACTGCAACTTTCTTAAGGGATTAAAAATCACTCACGGACCACGCACCACTCCGGCTCTCGCCGCTCTCCTCCCTTATTATCGGAGAACAGCCATCAAGTGGCATATTTGACATCAGTCACGTCCTACCAAAAACATTTATCTTCAGTATCATCCCCTCTCCTGTGGGAACAAAGACCTCCCTAATCACGTTTCTCGCTCGGAATTTTATTGCATAAAGCATTAACACCAGAGCTGATTCGGAGGGAGATCTCTCAGACACAACCCACCTCCAAACAAAACACGAAAGCGTGTGGTACTGCGCCTGTCAAACAAATTTCTCCCCAGAGACCTGCTTAGACGATTCTACGCTATAATTACTTGCAGCAGGTACAGTACATCTGCTCAGCGGAGTTCGTGGACGCCTGACTGTCAGGAGCCCTAGCGGAGCTCAGCCGTGCAGCCGCCCAATAAGTTTCAGCTGTTCTAGAAATTTAAATTAGAGTAATTTTCAAGAAGCCACCATAAAATAATTAATCATAAGCTGCTGTTCCCTGTGACCTTCCCAGGAATAGTGTTTATCGGGGACAAATGCGGGCAGAAAGGTGATTGGGTTGGTTTGTTGGGTTTTTTTTGGACAATGGTATTCCCATCATAGGAATTAATTCCCTAATGGCCTTTACCAAGAGCACAAGCAGGGCGTTTACGTGGAGCAAGTTTTAATCACGACTCTTTCCTCTTCAGACACCACCACGAAACGTAAGGGTTATCTGATAGCGAGAAGGCTCTGAAGCTGTCACGCTTAATCTCACTCTAGAGCCGAGGAAAGTTTAAGCCGTTTCTTTCCCTCACCTTACCAAGTAGCAGAGAACTGTGGCATCCCAAAGCAAAGCACCCAAGCCAAGTAAGAACGATGGCAGGTTTTGAGGCCAAACAATGTTATTCAGGCTTCTAAAGGTAACCAGTTTACATAACATCGAAGTATCAAAAAGCCTACATGGTCACAAGCTCCTGAAATACCTCTTTAGAGATAATAAGACAACTTCCCTTTCTGAAAACGTAAATTATTCGCTCTTACAAAGATCCAAGTTCACCAATGCCTGCTTAAAACACGCCAGCATCGTGCATCATTTAACCTCTGTCCTGTAGAAAGCTCTGCGCTGGCCTTTTAATGAACATCACTGCAAGAGATGGCTCTAAAATAGTTTTATTCTTAACAAAAAAAAAAAAAAAGATAAGAGACAGACAACTTGCAGCTCAGCTGAAATATTTCCATCTCTTTGTCTTTACACCAGTCTCAGCTCCCTTGGCACAGATCTCCACGCTGGGCGTGCATCCCACTATCACCTCTGGTCACACTTTCTCAGCCACCCTAACCTGAAGGAGACAATTCCCTAAAAAAATTCCCATCTGTGCCAGTTAATTTAGCCTCCCCTTCCAAAAGGTGGTGAGCAGGTACCACCTGCTGGTCACCGCCTCAGTGCTTCAAGTTATTCAGCGAGGAAATTTCCCCTTGCAGGGCTTTCAACCAAGAAAGTCCTTAAATTTATTGTTAGTTAGGATCAAGGCAATAGCCAAAACACCCTCCCTATCTTCCCTCCCTCATTGCTGAAGCCATAAAAGATAAGACAGGCCCAGAACAGCGGTACGTATCTGTGCACTCGCAGCGTCTCAGCTAGCCTTTGCAACCTCACTGCCAGAAAAGACAAAGCTGCCCACTAAAGAGCATGGTCTCACTTTCATCAATTAATCAGTGGGACCGATTTAAACCTCGCCCCAAGCCCCCAGACTCTTCATCCTAAGAGGTAAAAGCCAGTAGCAACAGCTGGACTTTGAAATTGCTTCTATAAGATCAAAAACCTCGATGCTGAAGAAACACGACATCAATTCAATTCCTACTGTCAGAGCTGCAAGGAAAAGAAAAAAAAAAATCTAAGCTGCAAAGATTAACACCACCTATTGCAGCAGGCACGCAGCGCTCTCGCTCCTAGCCCAGATCACAAGCCAGAACACTTTGGGAAAAGACCGAGCCGATCAGGTCATCCGTACAGCCTCGTGCAAGGTTGATTGCCTCCTACAAGCAACTTGATTTCAAGCAGAGGTTAATTAGAACTTACTCTAAGTTGCTATTAGGGCAAGGAAACAAATGACATTAAATAAAAAGAAATGTTTAAAGAACGTTCGTTTTAGCTTTAAATGATTTTATTTTTAATATAAAAATACACATTTACAAAGAAAATACAAACAAACCTCTGAAATAACATTACAAAAAAACACAAAGGGGAAGACAGACGGGCTGGAACCTATCTTTATGTCATTTAATCGTACAGCAAAATTGTTTCTCCAAGCAGCTGGGCCACACAAAAGTCCATGTTCAAACCACTCGGCTTAAAAAAAAACACTTTGCTTTAGCAAGTTCACGACACACTGAACCACTCATCTCGGGGTCCAATTCTAGCCTTAAAATAACTCTTTCCCCTTCAACAGTATCGTATTCCCTCTCTCTCCTGCGTTTACTTGCCATTTATAAGCTCCAGTGCCTCATCTTTGGTCCGCGTGATCTTTTCCTGCCTCCACGACGAGGGTCTTCTGGACTGGTTGTGCTTCACCAGGAGATGCGAACACCGCACTTTGCTAGGCTCCCCTTGGCCGTTCTTCCCGCTGCCGCTGGGCCGCTCCCACTGGCTGGCATTTGTGATGTGGTTGAAGTAATACACACGGCCTGCGGACAGAGAGAGGGGGCTGGGGTTAAAAACAGGCTCCCGGCAGACCCCGAGAATCAGCTTCTTGACCCCAAGAATCAGCTCCTTGACCCCAAAGGCACAGACTAGATTTCTGCGAGCGCTCGGCTACATCCACGCAATCGGCTCAGACACACGAGGCAGGAAACAAGACTTCACAACTCCACAAAATTTCCCACACAAGCGTTTCCGTCACGAAGTGCCTTCAGTCAAAGCAACAGCCCCGCGCAGAAGCAGACTCCAGCTGCTTTTCCAACTCCCTATGCTCGCACAGATCAGCGACAGGACGCCCACTGATACAGTCAGAAACCATAAACACCCCCAGGGAACATCCTGCCACTGCCGAGAAAGCGGAGGGTGCCGAGTTTCTGGCCTGGGGGTAAGACTGTGCTTCACTCCAGTCTTATTTACAAGGGTGAAACAGTGTAAATTAGCCGTTCTGTTCTGTTAAGCACATCCCATAGTAAACGTTGTGAGTTACCGTTAGCAAAGGTCACATCTTTGCATTGCACAGATCTTTCCTTCCAAAAGCCACCTTTTTTGTACCAGAAAATAAGACCTTCTTATGCAAGATATCCACGGTTTCCCCAGGTAGCAGAAAATGAAGCTCCTCTGAAGTCACCTCTCGACACATCCAGCATTAAAGCCAGGGAATTCTGTGCTCAAAGGTCTTCCAGCGCTCAGAGCCACACATGCATTTACCTGCGATAACTCACAGCATCAATCGAGATGATTTCTGCTTTCTTCTAGCAAAGCATTCATCCCAAAGCTGTCTACTGAAGCTAGAAGCAGACTAGACTCCAGAAAAAAGCCAAGCAAACCAAGGCGAGGGATTGCAACAGCAGAGCTGTGTGGCGGGAAGCTACGACCTAGTAGCGAAGGGCTCAAGTTCCCAGTTGCAATCCCAACCAACAGCCCGGACCTGCTAATTCTAGAGAGCCGTGGAGCTGCCTCCCTCCACGACGCTTCAACCACGGTACTTCTGGCAAAGAAGGGTTCAGGCGCACCCCCCTTCCCTCTCAGCCTCATCGCCTCCACCTCAAACAAACGGGCTGAGCA